ATTGTCACCAACACATGTATTGTCACCATCGCTTCGCAATCGTTCACGATAAGTCGTTGCCACTAACGAATAGTAACTATTTCACTTAGGTTCAGTTATCGAACTGACTGATACGATCAAGATGACCTTCACCAAGCTTCCTCCAGTTTAGCTTAGCGCTCAGCGACTATTCACAAAGGAGAGTGCTCCTATGATGTCATGATACATCTCAAGGTTTCCGGAGAGTCAGTCAGTGAAGACAAGGTTACTCCCTAATCGTGAGGTCTCCATCTGATCTACTGATATCATACTCCTGAATGTGTGATTCACCAAAGTAGCCCTAGGCACTAATCAGGCATGACAAGAAGACTACAAAATATCACATATACCATCTATGATACAGGGGAGCTGTAGTTGAAAACTTGACAGGTCTCGTATGATGAATATTCTCAGACTTGCCACTAAACGCACTTTCGCTGGTCGTAAGAAGGTTACGCAAAACAAGCATGATCAACTTCATGTCAGATTGAGATTATCCTCATCGAATGAGCAATACATTGGGATAAGTTGGAGCACTTCTCCCTGTTCGAAGGTCGACAGGTTCTCGCCATCACTTACGTCGTTTTACGCACGGTATAGATATGCTCGCTTCACGTTTGTACATTCACATCCCCGCGGATTTGATGGTTCTAATTACGAAGTATATGCTTGAAAGCTGTAGTTCTCAACGAGAAGAATCCGAGTCTTCTCATTGAGGTCAGTGCGCTGGTCTGAGCGGTCATTTTGTGTTTGCCACAGATCTGTACGTATCCACTTCTGCACGTATCCACTTGATACGTATACGTATACAGATTAGAACGTATAAAATTGTCCTTTTAGCCAATCCATTCACCCCCGGTGAGAAACCCAACACTGGGATCTGCGCTTGGTGATGAGTTTCGGAACTTGCTATCAAAAGCCCAATCACATCCTGATGCTACCGAAGGAAAAAGTCCCGTAGCCCTTCTGCTCTACTAATATCGATCAACGCACGCAGAACGCTATGAACAAGATTCCGCACACATTTGCGCGGCCTAGATCTCGAACGCAACATCGCGAGTAGATCGACCACAGGGAAATAAAGAAGTATACACCTTCTAAAGGCCTTTTTTTGCGTTAAGTAAGATCAATTTCGCAGGGCGAGCGATCATTCGAGCCAAGATCTGCCTTAGTAAGATCAATTTCGCCAGCGCGCTCGATAAAAAAATCAATTTCGACGACACGTGTCATTAGTACAATCAAATTCGCCGGCACGTCTGAAGTAATTTCGACGAAGTGCGGAAATCAGTTTCGCTGATAGTACATTCAATTTCGTCTAATGGGTCATTATGCCTATCATCATGCCAAACCCAGATAACAACTCTGACGATGAGAGTTACCAGGACTCCGGTGACGAAAGCTATTATAACTCCAGTGATGACAGTCTCTGTGGCTCAGCCGAGGGGGATGGTCCAATCCTGCCTCGTCGCCAGTTACGAGGAAAATAGTTAAAAAGAACTCATGTTGAGTTCTGCCACGTTGAGTTACTCAACGACGTCGCAATATCGACGACGCGTTCGTGGGTCAACCGAGGGAGCGCTAACTTCAGACCAAAAGGTGGTGCCAGACGGGTTAAATTAACCGAGGAATTGTTGCTGCGTATCGAAGGTTGGATATCCGTGGACCCATACCTCACTCTGAAGACGATGAGTCAGCGACTCTTGATTCGTCACGGTGTTGTTGTGACGTTGTGATCGCGTTATCTCTTTCGTCATATCATCGTAGCTACCACAAAGCTTGTCCTCTTTTCTTATCGTCTTTTCTGTAAATACAATAAGTTATTCAACTTCATCTAAAGGCCCTGAGTTTATTACCAATGACAGTCGCTGAGTCCTCGGAGGAGCTCGAACAACGGAGTCGACGTCCTTCCTCAGTGCATCTCGGGCCGCCTGCATGGGCGTCTCATCACACTCAAAGAACCCCATTATATTCCGACGTGCGTGAACATCCCTCAGAATAAGACGCTTCGGGCGGACTTCGCGGCCAGCCTACAAGAGCATCTCGCTCAGGGAGGACTACCGTATTTTTGGGACGAAAGTAATTTCAATTTGTTCCTGCGGCGCTCCCGCGCTCGCGGAGCCCGCGGGGCGCGGGTTCGGGCCCCCGGGTTGCCCTCGGGCAAAGGGGCCCAACGTTCATATGGCTGGGCTTCTCAGTTATCAGGGAATGATGTGGTGAAACGAGTCTAGGCTAACTCCGACTACAACCAAGGCTACTACAACCACTCCCGTTGGCAGTATGGTAGCTCATATCATAAACGAAACAAGGGGCGTGCCTGGAAGAACAGGCATCCAAGAAGAAAGCCCCGCGACTACTATGGATGGGATAACTCTCAAAAAAGTGGAATTGGTGGTTCAACGACTACAACAAGAATAAGGAGACCGATACTACAACGTCGGTTGAGAGTAGCCCTTGTCCGACATCCACAAAAACTTCGTCCGCTCAAGCATCACCTACTGAGGCCAACCCTACTACTACTATCCCCACCGCCACCAAGCTCCACGAAGAGGAAGTTCCGACGTTCGATGATGGCGTACCATGGTGGCAGAGAGCTGATCGACCAGCTCCCTCGCCCGCTAAGGAGGCAAAGCTGAGGCCGAACATCAACAAGGAAGCTGGTGGAGATTCGACGAACTTTCCTACTGCTACAAGGGAGTATACCGGTACTAGTACTCCTATCACGAACACTGCAATTCTGTCATTCGTCGATACTGCACTTTCTGCTCGAATTAAGGCCTTACTCCTTTTCCAGCCAGCGAAGACGCAGTGGTGGAATATATTGCCAGTTTAACTAAGTGTGCACTAATGTGCGAAACTATCTGCAAGTATGTGAATACCATCAGAATCGAGTCGCGTTTATTTGAGGTTGTTCCCCTCTCGGTGGCAGATGAAGAATATGTTAGGTTCAACCTATCAAACCTAATAGGTTGGCACTCTAGTCTGCCAAACGAATCCTCCGGAACCGTAAGCAGAAGCGCACGGTGACTTTGACTCTGGACCAGATCAAACGTGTTGTCTGTCTGAATCCACCATCAGGGAGAGCAATCAGTGTAGTAGCTTTCTTAACGGGGACATTCTGCTTACTCCGCCTCAAAGAAGTAGCGTCTCTCACGGCTGATGTCACGACCAGTTTGTGCGGATCCTACATAAAAAGTATACATAAAGTGCTCTCAGACAGATCCGAGTGGCAGTGCCCAGATCGCCAGAGAGCGCGACAAAATGAATCTTGTGGTCATCCTACTAATGCGCGTCCTTACCGGTGAAATTCCTAACGCAAGGTATACTATGAAGCAGGCGCCTGGTAGACTGGGTCCTCATCTGTCTCTGTGACGGTTTGAGCCACCTTACAAGAGCCTTGTGTTGACCGTAGTCTGTGAGTAAGTGCCAACCAATAGCTCTGAACTCGTGCTTTGCTCTTCCTAGCACTTTGTTGCGTCCCCTGCCATGAGTATCACTCAAGAAGGGAAGAGTGAGTGTAAAGGTTCACACAGCAGGGGAATCCATGAACATTCCATTTCGAGCATGCATAGGTAATCAGGTAAGAGAGTGTTCAACACAATAGGAAATGCGTACAGTTGGGTCTGCGTACGAAAATAGCACGCAGACGCACAGAGAGCAAGTGACTAGGGAGTTGCGTTGCGTTAATACTGTATCACATGTCCCACACAGTTTAAATATTCCTGCATCGATACGACCCGACCCCATAAGTACCGATAAGAGAAAGCCATTCAGGGACACTGAGTGACACTCAGTAAGTGACCGACAGTACGTGCCTACACCCTCTTCGGTATGCTCTCGGGTGTGGTGGGGTCGGGATAAAATCGAGAAACTTCTTCTGTCCTTGACTATGCTAGGAGATATGGAACGCGGGAGAGATCCACTGGTCTCATGGGTTCATCTCTGCAGTGCGAATTGTTAGCGAAGCGACGCGACCATCCACATCGGGGATTAACTTGTGTTAACTTATCTAGATACCATTAAGAGGATAGTTTCATAGGATAGATCGGCATCACATCCTGGATTACAAATGATATGATATATTACTAACAGTATGATATACATCACTAATAATAAATATTTATATAATAAATAAATACATAAATATAAATATCCCCCAGAATCTTGACCCATCACATCTAGGGCCACCACCAACTTCATTGAACTGTGGCGAGTGACGGTTTATCCATACGGTATGGGTTGACGATTATACACAGTTGCCCTTGAATTCTGTTAGGGAGTATCTCCACTGGAACTTACACGTTTCATTCATCGATAAGTATGGAGACCGAGCGGGTCGGCAAAATTCCCAAGTACTAATCATGGTCCTAACCTATTGCTATTATCCCATCCTACTCTCTCTCGAGTCTGGATCGCCTACTCAAAATCCCTGGGTGATAAAAATCAGAAATCGCAATCACAGAGTGAGTTGAATCAGCCCCTGTGTGTGGTAGTGCTACTAGTGCTGCTGCTAAGCCTGATTATTCCCCAGCTTACGTGAGTGTTATGATCAAAAAAAGCATTGAAATCCGAAAGTTCGACTGAGTAGCATGTCGTGAATGTCATTAACTTCAGCCGATACGCGAGTTCGATTCGCCTTGGACTTTGTCATTGTAGCGATGTACACAACTTACTTTACTCTCAGAAGCTAGTAACTCATGTACTGGTAATTTAGGTCATGGGGGAGTTTATTTTCTGTCGGAAGTATAATACACAATAGATGGCAGGAGTTCGGTTGTTCTCTGCACTTGTTGGCTCATAATTAGTACAAACAAAATTTTTCAAAATTGAAAATCTTACGAAATTTTTAAATCAGAAATAAGTGCAACGTGAAATTATTGGTACTCCACGCGTAAAATCTATAATGAAAATTGCCGGATTTTAGTACACATCGTCATTCAGGATCAAATCAAGTTGTCCCGGAATTGTTATTTTCAGCACTTTTTCTTACCCCATGTCGTTGGAAGCCCGGACTACTCTCGAGGGGGTCTATGCCCACGTTATAGCGCGGTCAGCAGCTCGACGGTATCTGCACGACCTTTACGAGGAGGTTGATTCGAAACCCTGCAAGACTAGTGAGGAAAGAATTTGTCGTATCTGTGCTGGTACTGCAGCTGATGGAAGATTGATATCCCCTTGTCGGTGTAAAGGTAATAATGGAGTTTCACGACTACCCGTTTTACGTGGAGTGGCGTCGTAAAACTCGGTGAAAAACGCGATATTCGCGCTACGCAGTAGTCGTGAAATACGTTTTTCATATCACTAGGGTGGTGAAACTCCAATATTCTTACTCGTGAAGTTCCTTATCTTGCTGGGATTTCCACCAAATTTTATTTTTCTACCAGGCCGAAATCGGATTCGGCATAATTTTATCGGGCCGCTTTTTTCTCGTCATTTTCGGGGCTGATCAAGAAATGTGAAAAAAGTGTGGGAAATATGCACATGGTGAACTACATGTGTTGGTGACCGTTAGAAAAATCTGAGGGAAATTTCGGCAAATTTTAGTTGGTTTCTGTACACTTCTACCCGAATTCGTATGTAAACTCCTATACTCAGTGAGGAAACTTCTAAGCTCAGTTGAGGACAGCAAACATATATTACTCTATAAGACTGATTTTGATTAGCTCTTATTCACATTGGATTTCACTTTGAGGGGGAGGTACGGAGATGCCTTTCTTTGGGCGAATTCGTGAATTTAGCATTCATCGCGAACTAATCAGTAGGAGGCAAGTATTTGTTGCTTTTTAGGATCGATGAAATACGTTCATGTCGAATGTCTGAATCAGTGGCGAAAAGTCGCCGCTAATCGGGACAACTTCTTCCAGTGTCAAACTTGCAAGTAGTAGTAGTAGTCTGGTCTACTCTGTGATTTGCGCGATGGATGGTATGAATATCACTCCTGATGCGGTGAAGGGAAATAGGCACATGCTCAACTACATGGTTTGGTGATGATGAGGAAATTGTAGATAATTTTGGTTGTTGGTTTTTGTACAATTTTACGTAGAATCGTGGGTTAATTCCTAAAATGTTTCTCGGGACACTCGGCTGAGCTCAGCTAAGAGAACCGAGATTTACATTCCTCCAACATAGACTTAACAGCAGCAATAGTCTTCCCTTCAGAAATTAAACTTCTCACCCGAATCGAATCAGGTACAAGTATAAGTTTAAAAGGACTTGGTTTGCCGGGTTGTTGACGAACCCTGTTATAGTTGGTCTGGTAATAACACGGGTGGAAAATATGCACATGATCAACTACATGTGTTGGTGATAGCATGAAAATTTTGGGAAAATTTTCTCGGTTTTTATACACTTTTATTCGAATTTGTATGTAAAACTGTATTGGTGAGGGAACTCCTGAGCTCAGCTGAGGAAGGGAAACATACATTTCATTACTACGTTGGAGCTTATCTGCGTGATGTTAGCGTCGCGCGCCACAAAATTATTGGCTTCTCATATGGTATGGGCAGCCTCAGACAGCATTTGGCGTTGTTTCGTTCGACTTTGTGAGTTGCAGTTGACATCATTTTCGGTTTTCTCAGTGCACCATGTTTGTTCTCCTCCTTCTTATAGTGCTGTGTGGATTCTTTGGATTGATGCTTGGGTAAGAATGGTGTAGTGGTTATTACTCTGCTCTTACCATCCAGAGGTTTCGGGTTCGATCCTTGGTATTTCTCTTTTTTAGTTATTTCTTCCCATCAGAGGAAGAAGACGTGGGATTCCTATGGTTCCTTATTGCTGGCCACCGATGGGCATGGTAGTATATAAGGAGGTTTCAGTACTATTCATATTCAATTCAATTGATTAATCATTCTCTGACCTACAGTGTGAGAGGGGGAAACGGGTGGGGATCCCTGCCGCACCTGTTGGCAGCCCCTCGACCGAGTGTAGTGGTGCAAGAAGGACGTGAGGAATGGGTTGAAAATAGGATAGACGTGGTTTACAGTGCGTGTCAATTTGATATGCAAATGTGTGTAATTTTCCGAAATTAATGAGAATCGATTTGCAATGTAACGATGGCTATGAACATGTGTTGTGATGATGAGAGTACCCGTTTGGGACTGTGATGATAGCGACAACTTGTTCACTATCATTTGTCCTACAAAATAACACACATTTGCATATCAAATTGACAAGTACTGTATTTGATATTCATAGAGCTTGCTCACGGTTTTCCATACAGGTATGATTTCCTCCTACGTGGCGTTACTATAGTCGGTCTGAGCGGCTTTGCTCAACTGATTTTCTATATTCCCCGGTGGGTCGATTTTCGATCGTCATTAGCGGAGCGAAGTTTTCTTGTTCTCGATTATAGATTGGGAGTGGACAACCAGCCGCGAGGAGGACGGGTGGATGTGATGATATTAATCATCATAGTAGCTGGGCTTATCAAGGTGACAAGGGGAAGGGCGTGGGTTCGATCCCCGGTGGGGTCAGTTTAACATAACTGGGTAGAACTAGAGTCACTCTGCATTAAGTCATTGATACTCGTATTCAGAGAATCATCCAGGAACCTATAATGCTCCTGGAGGGAACTCATTTTGAATTTTCCACATGTAAATCAGTTTCTCAAAAGTAAATGTCATCACAGTCAAGAACATTTGTTATCAAACCCTGGCAAGACGTTATTTCTCAAAGTTGGGTGGGTCGCTTCCCATTTGTCTTCACTAAAATCCAACTCGTTCATATCATGGCCGGACTTCATGAAAGAGTTACCCTCTTGGGTAACAAAAGGAGACGAATAAATCATCTCATCACAACTGTGCGGATCTACAGTGTGAACCAAACCGTTATGTGAGGTAATATTTTCAACACCTTCAATTCTTGAGAGTTCGAAAGTCAACTTTGAGTAATATCAACATGATAACAATGTGAATCGATTGACACCAACGTTTTAGTCTATAGTCGAACTAGTCTAAAATTGAAGAAAGCCATCTCGAAAATCGACATATGCATAACAATGTGATATTTTTATGTATTTTTTTGTGAAAGTTCTTCTCGTTAGGTCTTTGCTGAATTGTACTCAAGTGTAAGAGAATGGTCAGAGTATTACCTCGCCCACGCGGAGTCCCTCATACTGGATGTACCAGAAGAAGACGATGAGAAGCTGTCAATAGCAATACGCCATCAGAGCTCTGTAGCTGCGAAGCACTATTAGTTCAGTTTACTATGTATTGGAGTTTCACCCGAAACACGAGTGAAAAATATATTTCACAACTACTGCATATCACCGCGAATATCGGGTTTTTCACGGAGTATTGCACCACTTCACGTGAAACGGGTAGTCGTGAAACTCCAGTGTTCATAATTGCTTAAGATTTCAACCAACACTTCTGTTACAATGAGCTCTTGCGTTTGGGGGAAGCCAGAGAGGTGTTGCATTTTGTTGGTGGTAGAAATGATCTTTTTTCATAGTAGTGTTGGAGGAATAAATGTTCGTTTTCCTCGGCTGAGTTCAGGATTTTCCAAAGCTAATTATAGAAGTTTGTGTACGAATTAGAGTAGGAGTGTTCAAAAACCACGGGGAAATTTTCAGAAGTTTACTCAGAATTTTCATGTTGTCGCCAACATATAAAGTTGAGATTCGCCTTGAGCGATCACTTCTTATAGGAGGCGATGGTTGACTACACTGTATCGCAATACGGGGAAGGTTGCACAGTGTCAACTACATGTGTTGGTGACAATATGAAAAACTGAGGAAATTTTGGGAAATTGTGGTTGGTTTGTGTAAATTTTTACCCGAATTCGTATATGAACTCCCCAAATTAGTGAGAAAACTGCTGATACAATGTAACGATGGCTATGAACATGTGTTGTGATGATGAGAGTACCCGTTTGGGACTGTGATGATAGCGACAACTTGTTCACTATCATTTGTCCTACAAAATAACACACATTTGCATATCGAACACTGTAAAAACCGATACAGTGTAGTCGTTGTAGCTTGATCGAGTCAAGCATGATCGTAGCTTCCCCCCACAAGGCCTCGCAGCAGGAGAGGTGGATAACTCCGCTTCTTATGGTTGTTTTGGTCATCTTCGGCACGGCTAATGTTATCACTGGCAAGATCCGTTCTGAGCCTCTAGGCGACTACTCGGGTTTTGTCACGAGCATCTTGGGTCAGGGCGTCTACTTCACAACGTATTGGTCAATCTTCGCTGTGCGCTACGCATCTCGGAAGATTCCTGAGGATCAGATTCGGTGGCTTTGGACGTTCTCTACTGGCGGCTCGTGGTGGTCACGGCTGCCGGGTTGCAAGTACACATTTCTGTCGTCGATATGTGACGTACTTGGTGACAATCTAATGTTTTTGACCCAGGCCTATCTCTCAATAATCGTATTCAATCTACTTCAACAAGGAATGGTCCCCTTCACGTTGTTGTGGTCTATGCTAGTTCTGGGCTCGCGATACATTCTTGAGGAAATCTTGGGAGTAGCATTGGTCGTATCGATGGCAGTCGCCTCTGTATTCACTTCGACACGTGGTGGAGGCTCCGACGGTTTCTGGATGGCTTTATTGTGTCTCTCCTCTACTGCTTTCCAAGCCCTCGGTTTTGTTATCAAGGAGGCCATGTTCAGAGCATACGACTTACATGCTCGAGAAAATGCGGCACGCGCGACGAAATTGGATATCTTTGCGGTGACTAGTTCGAATCATCTATGGGGAGTCCTGTGGGTTGTACCGGTATGTTACTTTGTAGAGAAGGCCAGAGTTGGTGGAGATGTTGTTGAGGAAATGCGCTCTGGTTTTCAGACGCTTTTGTGGTCCGATCATGCAATGGCTGCATTTCTGGTTTACATGATTATCAACATCTGTTTTAACATCACTATATATTTGCTGGTATCGTACGGCTCAAGCCTGTTGACATTCGTTAGTCTCAAACTTACAGTACCATTATCAGCATTTTTATCTCTCATAAGTTGGCCTCTCATAGGGGCTTCAACCGTCAATTCATTCGAGTGGCTAGCACTGATAGTTATCATGTCCGGTGTGCTTATCTTCAAGCATGGCAACGGTGTTCGTGAGAAACTGCTTGCTCGTAATGCAGTCTCGGAGAAGGAGGAGACGGTCTGTCTATGGCCCCTCTTCCAAAAAAGGAAGATTGCGCGTTCTGGTCAGTCATTATCGTCGTCGCTCATTCGGAGTGAGTAGTAAAGTGCAGCGCTGAAAATCAGTGATGGTCGCACTATCAGTTCAAGGTTGGAAAATTTTGTAATGTAACCTTCTTGTGTTGGAGTTGGTGTTTGCAATGCGGGGTGACTTGGCTGAAGGTCGGGTCTTCCCAGTGCGGAGTCGAGGGTGTTGTTATCTACGGAGTTAACCATTAGGAAATGATAGTGATACTAACTATAATAGAGCTACTATCAACATCATAAACCGATGGGGGGAACATGCACCGATCGTTGTGCGTTTAATCTATCATAGATTGAACGCACAACGATAGATTATCTATGCATGACAGCGGAGCGATGGATGTCATGTTTGAGGAAGAAGAGACTGTCTGCAATAGACGAGGAGCCTTTCTGACGGCTTGGTACGGTAAACCCAAACCGCAAAAACTATACAAGTATGGAAACAATTATTTGGAGTGAAGAATTGATATTCAGTTCAACCTCAGCTTATTGACATCCTGTTGTAATAGCTCAGCGCACAATCGTGTTATTCTTCGACATGGTTGAAGACTCGACTCGATCTGTACAATACGTCCTATGGGATGATCGAGCAACCATGTACAGTGCGTGCCGATTTGAATGCAATTGTGAAAAATGAGCGATCTTTCCCGAGATTAGTGATAGTCGCTCTGATACTTCGCAGATATGATGTGAGATTGCTATGAACATGTACTGTGAGAAACGCAATCGCTTGAAGGTCATTTTCACATTTGCAATTGGCACTCACTATAGTCTTTCGGGCACCTCTTCTTCCCATGGTGTTACATGACTATTTACGACACTTCGGGGACTTACCCGGTGATTTGCTACCATTGAAAGAATCGGGTGTTGGCAACGCATTACGGTGCTGCGGCCAGGGGTATGCTATGGAGAACGCGAATAGTGACATGAAGGTGAATTGAGAGTATTCCAATGTGGAGGAGAAATATGCACATGGTCAACTATGTATGTTGAGGACAGTAGGGAAATTCTCGTTGGATTCTACCTTGATTCGTAACTAAGCTTCCATGATTAGCTTTGGAAACTTCTGAACTCAGCTGAGGAAAGCGAACATATATCCCTCCAACGCTGAAGTATTAATCTTATCAACAGCGTCGATTTAGGATGCTCTTCATCGAGCTGAGGAGGCGGCTGATGCTACTTTCCTCGTGAAACCTGTGAATCAAGCAATGCCTCAAGCACTGAAAAGCAGTAGACTCCTCGTAGTTCATAACGATGCAGTGGCGAGAGGTGTCGCGCACATAAAGGAAGCGATAAAAGCGGTAGGTGACAAGAGCCGTTCGAAATCATTCACCCTCGTCGGGCAGTTGTCGCCATACGTTCCACGAGGGGATGAGGCAAGGGATCACTTTAGGGTGGTTAGCGAGATAGATCCAACACTATGTAATTTAGCTGGAAGATTGAGGTTGCCGAGCGGTAAGACAAGCACTGATGATGTACATGCCTTCTTGTGGGGCTGTAGTGATGAACCTCTATCATGATTATCGATGTTTTGCGTTGATGAGTTAGCATTCCAACGAATAACAGGGGATCAGTTCTGATAATCGAAATATGGATGATGTAGCCAGGATGTTCTTAGTAAGGATCGGTGGCTGCGAGTGGGACTTGATCCATTGCTGCTGAGCCGAAGAATTTGGTGAGAATCTCCAGACCCTGGGGACCTCACCTTACAGCAACCCTCGCTCGAATTTGTGAACGGGTGTAGTCATGCATTGTGTCAGTCGAGCTAACGCAGGCCCGATCGCAGCTTCCCACCCAAAACTCGTCAACTCAACTCGTCCCGCCCTGTCGACTTTATCTGTGGCCATCGGACAGCCATTCTCACACAGTTGAGGATTCCAAGTCAAGATGCAGACAATCAGAAACCACTGGGTGACAGAGGGTGGGCAAAAGGAGCCAGCACGCTCACTAGCAATTGATAGATGATGAAGTAAAGTGTCAATAAGCCTCACAATAACCGTTAG